TTAAAAAAAACAAACGAAACAAAAAAAAAAAAAAACATTGACGTGAGATTTGGAAATACGAAATCGGATTGGCATTTAATTGTTTGCGCCTGTGAAAAACAAAGTTACGATTTATTATTTTTTTTTTTTTCTCCAATTCCCAAATCCCACCACGCTGCAGCGTACACACCCTTCAAAGCAAAGTGGACGAGGATCATTTTGGGGGATGGAAAAAAAAAAATAAGGGAGGGCATTCCTGAACTTCAAATCAAATCGAGGGCGCTCGAAAGTTTTCCAAGTTTTCGCAAACATCGCGAGCTGCCGCTGCATCGTATGGTAGAGCTTGCGAAGGGTTCGAAAAGCTGTATATCAGCTACTCTCAATAGCACGGGAAATCGGAGATGTGATACTGGAAATGTGATTGTAGGGTTTTGCGTTTGAATTAAGGATAATATAAAATAAAAACTATAAATCACGATGATTATTCGATGGTAAAGGCTGCTCGTCCCTTGGAGTGACACGGCGATTTCGTAGGCTTCCTTTCTGATTAAAAAAAAACCCTCCGCTGTCGTACCCATAATTGGAAAGAGATGCTCTCTCTTGTAAGATAAAAAGCCGCGCTAGAGGCAACCTCGAGCGATCCTGTGTCGACCAAATTTCAATAGCCCGCTCGTCCTGGTCGATCAGCCTCCTCCTCCTCCTCCGACTTTATTGGACAGAACTAGACGCTCCGGTGGATTTTCGAAATCAAGAGAGAGTTTGTGGTCCTCGAAAGCGCGTATCCTCGTCGATGAATCCCGAACGAACCGAAAGTGATTGATTTTTCAACGCTTTTACACGACACGTGTACGATATGATGATGGACGTCGCATGATTCGCAGTGCCATCGTTAGCTCGCGTTATTTTCTTACGGCGTAACGCAACGACCTTTACAAGGTGAGGTCAAAGAGCCGCAGGGACACGGCGATCCGTACCCCTTTCATTTAGAATTCCGCCAAAGTGACGTTTCCCTCGAGTTACCCTTTGACTCGCAGCCAATCAAGCAAAAAAAACTCCACCCCCAAAAGCCGCAGTTCGCTTCTTTAGCGGAATCGAAAAACCGCGCGAGCGATTTCACACAGAGCTTCGAAAAAGCTCGAAATTTACTTGACGATGTTTCGGAGAGAGGGGGGCGCAAAAACATCGAAATCAGCCGAGTGAATTTTTCTCAACAACGGCAACAGCTAGCGAGCGCTCCGAATCGACGAAAAAGGAAAGGGGAAACAAAAAATCAAAGTGCAATCCAATCTAACGAGAGGGAGCTTGCGCTCGACGGTGGTGCTGGGTGTACGAGCTTGCAAAAAAAAAACGAACGACGAAGAATCGAGGATGGAATGCACGCACGACGAGATGCAAAAAAAAAAAAAAAAAAAAAAAACAAAGACAAGTGCAGAAAAAAGTTTATGACGGAACGTGGAATTTGTTAACTATTTTTCGTCTACGATATTTACAAATCGCTGATTCCAAATTGAAATCAAGGAAAAGTCGAATTTTGCATTAAATAAGGCTTCATTGTATTTTAATTCACTATAATCTAACATTATATCATACAATCTTTTTATTCTTTAATAAAAATTCAATACCGCCAATGTCATTTGAGAATCTTTTTATAAGTAGATTTCTATTTTGCAATAANATAATAATAAAAAAGGTCCAAAGCAGTATACAGCGCTGCGAGAGAGGAAAAAAAAAAAAAAGAGTCGAGCTTGCAGAGCTGCTGGCGAAGCTCCGTTGAAAATAAAAATTTGCCCCCTGCCCTTCCTCCTCTTCTCCCCTTGGTGCTGCCGACGACGACGTTATCGGGCAATGAACGCGAGAGGCTCGTCAACGACCCGCCCGTTTAAAGCTATATAGCCAGCTCGGTGTGGGAGCAAAAGAGCGAGAGCCAGAGAAAGAGGGAAGATTGCGCGGAAAGGAAAATCTTTAAAAATACCGTCCGACGAAAAAAGCTGCGCAAGCGCAAGTTCAAGCCCCGAGAGAGGGTCACCCCCTACCGCCGATGCCGTTTCTTTCTTCCTTCGCCTCCCCCCTCCCCCCCCCACGAGAGAGCACCCGGCGAGTATTCGTGCATCCCTACTTTTACGCCGGTGCTTTTTTTCCCCTCCACCCCCTACCTCTACCGCCGCTCTTTTTCTCCCGCGCACACACACACACGTCCCTCCCCTCCCTCCTATTTCTCCGCCGGCGTCTGCAGAGAGTCGCCTCTGCTGCCGCCAAAACAAATCGTAAAGACGTCGCTGCAACGCTCCCCCCCCTCCTCCATCCCCCTCCGTTCGCGTGGATGCGTGTCCCTTTTCTCACGATCCCCTGGCGCATTTCCCGAAACGACGGAAATCGAGGGACGCATCCATCCCCCTGCAGCCGCTCGGGGGACAATAACCTTTGCCCCTCACTTCCCGCGCCACCACGACGATGCGAGGGATCTCGCGTACCACTTGATCGACATCGGATGACGACGGGTCGTCCGTTGGTCTCGGGAAAAAGAAAAAAATGCCTTCTTTCGAGCTTTTTTTTCCCCCCTCCCTTCGGCCCGGATGCCCCGCAAGCTCGGGGTTAAGGTGAGCTTTGCGACGCGAGTCTAGAGCACCGGGGGGAAAAGTTGGATGACTGTCTTGTCACCCGTGTGGTCCCACTTTTGCTTTTATATTCCACTGATGACAGTAGTATAGGTACACCTACGGCGCCCGTTGAATCGTAGCCCCAAAAACAATGTTTGATTGCTTCGAGCTTGGTTCAAGCGATACATATGGGTAGTATTGTCGCGCGTCAATACCAAACAAAGAGAGTGTAAAAAAAGTACCTCGCAGCCACTTTAAGCGAATGGAAAGCATATACAACATGCATGTACATAAATATTACCTGGAGCTTATTAAGTGGTGATTACTTAACTCCGATGCATCATAAGTATATATGTATAACGCGTGCATTGTATTCCCGATCGTGCAATTACGGGAGTAGCGTTGGGGAGTGTACTGTGCCCTCGTGCACTTGGTTAAGTGAAAAGGAGCCGTGCGAAACGCGAGGTCACGGAGACGAGAGCCGCTGGTACAAAATTGGTGCTGATAAGCCGCTCTCTGTATGATGTACACTCTTGGGTATCTCGCTTCGGGCGGTGGTAGCGGCTTGGCCGAGATAGAGGCCCTTTTTGGGATTTATTCCGATGCTACTGCTCTCACTTTTGACGACGACGACGACGACGGCGGTCGGGGAGAAAGTAAAAGCCGATACGCGGCCGGTGATTTTTTTTTTCCCTTCCCCTTATTGGTCCGCTTCTTTTTCTTCATCTCGGCTGTTTACGTGCCTTTTTACGCCTACTTTGGCCGTGTCGTGAGGTTGCCATCCGGCGGTGGGTGAAAAGTTTCATCGGAGATCGAGTCACGCCACGAAGCGTTTTGTTCATTTTTGGTATTTGCGCTTGAATGTTGAAAAAAAAAAACAATCATAGAGCGTCTCTCGATTAGCCCAACAAAGCTAACCAGACTTTGTGGAGCAAAATTTATTAATTTTTTTATTTTAATTAAACGCAGAAAAAAAAAAACATCTTTCGAGGAATATCATCCGAAGTTGTCCCTCTCATCGCCGAGTCATGTGTTTTTGCGTATACATGTAACCATCGGTGTGAAAGTTCATCGACGCCCAATCTTATCGCTCGCGATAGTAGGTACAGCTAAATTAGACGAAACTTTTTTTCTTTTCTCACAATCTTCTTCTTCTGATTCCTTTTTTTTTTTTTTTTTTTTTTTCTTCATTATCAATCTTGACGCGAGCTGCCAGAATTTATGGAAATAAATGAAACTTTTGTGAGCCAATTTCGGTAAAAGAGAGTTTTTGTTTTAGCTCGCCACGCGCAAACGTCCAAAGTAGAGTCTTTTTCTTGAGAAATCAGATTGACTTTGGACGATCACGTGGCTCGCGATTTTCATCGACAATCCCAATACTTCGTCTATTTGTATAACCTCCCCAAGGATGACAAAGTGTGGAATAAAGCATACCGATCTCTCTTATATTTTTCACGCGATTGCAGCAAACAGTATATATATATATATATATTACATACCCGACCATAACGATGATACATTTGTCAGGAGGACGACGCGTGTCTAATCGCCGTGTCTAAGACCAAAGGCGCGAGCGAGCTTCCCTCGAGAACAGGTTTTTCAAGCTTTCCGAGGACGAATCGTCTTTGGCCCCTCGATTCTAATTCGCGACTCCTCTCCCATCCGGCTGATGGATCGCTCGCCTGTACACGCGACATGGGAAGGGGTGGGAAGGGGGGTGGAGGGGAAGAAAAAAAATCGCTCAAGAAAAATTGCGCAGTCGCTCGCGTGGGTATCATCGATCATTCGCTGCACACGTATACAATCGGGTGCACCATCCATTAATATTCTTTCGGCGAGTCTACGTGCATCTATTTCGTGCCGGCGACTCCGCCCTTGGTTTTCTTGCCCTCTCTCGTGTGTTTGTAGCTGCGCGTATCGCGAACATTTTTAATTAAATTTTTTCTTTTACATCAACCGCCTGGTACCTATACACGAGCCAAGGGTTGCCGGAGCAAACGAATCTTCTCTAAATTGAAGCAAAACACAAGGCTCATCTTTACTCCCGAGCTTCCCTTACTCTCTACACTTGCACGTATACTACATTGTCCCGCGCTGAGATGAATGAACTTGTTGTTTTTTAATTTTTCAGCTCACACGCGTACGTAGCTGAGCAAATAATCTTTGCGATTCCACGACGTTATTACATTTTTTTGCGTAACACATTTTTACCCTCTGGAGGAGCGTCTCGTTTCCCCCTCTTCTTTTTTATCATACAAGTCTTTGTTTTGATAATCTTGTACAGCAATGAAATGGTTTATCCAGCAACATAATAATCGTTATAATCTCATGAAAATTCTGTAATGATAATAATAATGAATAATAAAAAAAATGATAATAATTTCCGTTGACTAAACGTGGCTTTCGTTGTTCGTTTGGTTGCAGATAGTGGCACGCCGTACGTGTTGTACAAAGACAACATGGATAGGCCGCAGAGCCAGTGGGGGCCCGGGCCTGGATCGCTCCAAGACGGGGCTGGCCTGTACGCCCAGCAGCAGCAGCAGCAACAGCAGCAGCAACAGCCGCCCCAACAGAGCTCCTCCTCGTCGGGTAGTCCACAGCAGGCCTGCGGCCCGCCGGTCGAGGGGGAAAACGGCACCGGCCAACCCACGAGCTTGGCCTCGCCCGTGCCCTCGCCCTATCCCTCGGCGCCGCCCGACCAACCCCAAGCTCTCACACCCCCCGACGACGACATACAGTCCGGCCAACAGCAGCAGTCCTCCCAAGCGCAACAGAGCGCCCAACAGCAGGTCCAACAGCAACAGGTCCAACAGCAACAGGGCCAAGTGCCCAGCAATCAGGACCAACACTCGCCCCAACAGCAACAACAACAACAACAACAACAACAGCAACAGCAGCAGCAGCAGCAACAGCAGCAGCAGCAGCAACAGCAGCAGCAACAGTTGAGCGGCCACGAGGTCGATAGGAACGATTGTTTTCCCGGCTCGGGTGGGGACCTGCAGCAGTACCCGCAGCACTACTTCAAGGACTCGAGGCCGCACGCGTCGCCCTCCGTGCCCCCGCACATGCTAGCCCCGGGCGGCTTCTCGGCTCTCCACTACCTCAAGCAGCCCGGCGTGATGCTCACCTCGCTCGGCCAGTCGGAGGGTGGGCCCGGGGGTCTCGAGGCAGCCGCCGCCCACCAGTATAGCGGGGCTGGTGGGGGTGGTGGGCCGGGGGGCATGGCCGGCTCGGGTCTGCCCGACATCGTCCAGCAGAACGGCAAGGCCGGAAAATCGGCGGGCAACGACCTGAGGTTGTTCAAGTGTTTGACCTGCGGCAAGGATTTCAAGCAAAAGTCGACCCTACTGCAGCACGAGCGCATACACACGGACAGCAGGCCGTACGGGTGCCCGGAGTGCGGCAAGCGCTTCAGGCAACAGTCCCACTTGACCCAGCACCTGCGCATACACGCCAACGAGAAGCCGTACGCGTGCGCTTATTGCGAGCGCACCTTCCGGCAGCGCGCCATCCTCAATCAGCATCTGCGCATCCACTCGGGTGAGAAGCCGTACCAATGTCCGGAGTGCGGGAAAAACTTCCGTCAGAAGGCGATCCTGAATCAGCACGTCCGCACACACCAAGGCGAGCATTTCTCTCTGCCTAACCCAGACTCCCCGACGGAGAGCGACGGCCGGCCCGCCAGTCGCGCGTCCACCGACACGCTCGATCCTTGAATTTTCGCTATACTTCACGCTCACTCTCTTTTTTACTACGCATACATACATACATACATATTTATTTATCTCTCTCTCTCTCTCTCTCTCTCTCTCTCGTCATGTCTGTATGTATACACCCATGATATACATATACATATACCCGCGCGTACACTCACACCTGCATACACCTATATAATATACATATTTTACGTGCGTATACGTATTGTTTTTTATATACGTGTATGCTTGTGCGCGTACGTGTGCACGCGGCTGTGTGAATAATTCACAAATCATCACCACCACCACCACCACCACCACTGCTAACAATATACGCCGTACGAGTGACGATTAGATATTTCTACAAATAAATTAAATACATTTATATTGAAATCTTTTATAAATCCCCGTTCATTTACAGCAGTGTAGCTCAAATGCGAGTAAAATCACGTTGACTGTTCAACAAGCGTTGGATGACCATTGTTACAAATTATATCCGTACAATTACGGATTGTTTCCAATGTCCAGCTAATTTGAAAGAAAACTGCTGATACGCTAAAAGAGCTTATATTATTGGACGATTATTGTATGGAATCCTCAGGAACGTATATATGAATCGAAAGTTGATTGTAGGAAATTAATAGAATATGAATTTTGATTTTCTTGTTTCAGTTTACTGCTTTCTACTTATATCTATGGGCCACATTAAATCAAACAGATTTTATTCCAAGTACGTCGATGTACCTACTTGCGGTTTTTTAATTTTTATCATTATGTAACTTGATTATCATTAATTAGAATTACCGCTATGGAGTGGCTGCATCATCACGTTTATCGAGCGGTCCGTGGTGCGGTGTATAAAGAGTATCAAATTCCTTCACTTCAGTTGGAGTCTTATAATTGCTGCTATGCACAGTATATTATAAACCTGGCGCTATTGTGTTTCTTATACTTGTAAGTAATTTTGTGATTGGAACAAAAAAAAAAAATTAACATTAGAAGAAAAAAGGTTTTTATTAGAAAATCTCAGTATACAGGGTAATATTCAGAAAACATAAAATTTTATAAATATTTTTATTACAATGTATTTATAATCGTAGTTGTACAATGATAATCACGCAATAATAAAACGTTTAGATGAGCAATTTTTAACGCGACATTAAACATAATAAAATTAAAGATTATTTAACAAAATAAAATTATGTTGAGAAAACTGTGAGGCCTATTGCTGAGTGAACGTTTGAATTTAGCTGCTTATAAGCAGATGGGTTGTAAAAAAATGAATCCTATTTTGGCCTGAATGTTTCAAGATTGGGTAGTTACAGAACTTTCCAATTGGAAAACGGGATAACTATAGAATTAATATTTTTAATTTAATCGAATCAATAGATCCAGCTCTACTGTACATGTGCTGACGTATTTGTCAAGTAACACACATTTTATTCTCAAACAATTATTTATCAATACATGTATTCTGACGTTACTTTTACGATACTTGAATTTTATTTTTACGACGTATGGTACGGAATCATATGAACAACCGATAGCCTTTTTTTTATATGCTGCGCAATATCTTTCATTAAAATGCCAAAGCGATAAATCAACAAAATGCTTAAAAACTAATTATTTATAAGACCACATTGGATTTGCAAAATTCACATATTCAACTAGTCATTAGTTTTAAATACGATTTTTTTTATTTTTAACAACCACCCAAAATAAAATCTTTTTTCACTTTGAAATAGCTAAGAAAATAAAAAATGTTCAATCAAGTTCAGCCAGTACACCACTAACTACTTGTATAATTGTATTACTAGTGTTTAAAAAAATTTAATCGAAAAAATTAAGGGCATGTTAAATTCACTGAATTACAATTGGGGATGGCTGGAATCAATAGAATATTTTATAACTTAACAATTTACTTAAATCCATCAGAAAATCTCATCTGCTGACATAAATAATAGTTGTAAAAGTTAACCTTTAGTTACTTTTAGAGTAATATTCTCAAAGAACGGATAATTTTAATTTTATAAAAAATNTTCGTTTTTTTTTTTTTGTTTTTTTTTTCAATTAATCGCTTTACTAAAAACATCTTCCAGCTCTGTTAAGTGTCTCTTTTGCCGCCTGTACGATCCCGCAGCATCCGCAATCAGCAACCCTCATTATCCATGGTCCACGCCACGTGAAGCTTGATATGTATATTTATATACGTTATATACATACCTAAATATGTATATACCTGTGTACTCCCATCCTTTCCTGGTAACCGCGTGCAAAAATGTTTAACAAGAACTAACACCACCGTTACTTCGACTGGTCAAAATTTAAACGGCTGCATCAGTTGTGACTTCACGGCCAAACGATATATCCGATTCTTCTTCCCGCGGAGTTTGAAAATGCTTGCCAACCTCCCTTGTTCCCAGCTCGATCTTTTCTTTTGAATTTCGACCGTGTGCCGACGACGCGCCAACAAGAAAAACAACAATATTTTAACAATACCGGAGCACCTGATTCCGGCGTGCGCGCGTGTTTCTCGCCGAAACGAAAGAAAGCCGAAATCACGAAACACAACGGGTGAATCGCGTCCCAGTTGTATTAAAACGTTTTGTTCTCCACTTTGTCATTTCAGACGTGAGTCCGCACTTGATCTTCAAGAATGGAATGACACCGACCCTGTGGCCCCAGGACGTACCCTTTCCGCCCGAAGAAGGCAAAGAAGAGGTAGCCTCGACCTTTGGCGACACAGACACGCAATCGGGCGCGTTCAGCCCGGCCCCGGGCGACGGAAGCTCCTCTCAGTACCCGGCCTACTTTAAGGACCCGAAGGGCAACAACCACGGGGTCTTTGGCACGGGTGGCTCCTCCGGGACCTTTGGCGCCCTCCAGTACATCAAACAGCAACAGCAGCAACAACAACAGCAACAACAAAACGCCAAAGGCTGCCTACCCGACGTCATACAGCACGGGCGCTCGGCAGGGATGCCCCTCTACGTGCGCTGCCCCATCTGCCAGAAGGAGTTCAAGCAAAAGTCGACGCTGCTCCAGCATGGCTGCATACACATCGAGTCGAGGCCGTACCCCTGTCCGGAGTGCGGCAAGCGTTTCAGGCAACAGTCCCACCTGACCCAGCACCTGCGCATCCACACGAACGAGAAGCCCTACGGTTGCGTCTACTGCGGCCGCAACTTCAGGCAGCGCACCATCTTGAACCAACACCTGCGGATACATACCGGCGAAAAGCCGTACAAGTGCCAGCAATGCGGCAAGGACTTTCGCCAAAAGGCGATCCTCGACCAGCACACGCGCACCCACCAGGGCGACCGGCCCTTCTGCTGCCCCATGCCCAATTGCCGGCGGCGCTTCGCGACCGAGCCCGAGGTCAAGAAGCACATCGACAACCACATGAACCCCCACGCGGCCAAGGCTCGCCGGAACTCGAACGGTGACGCCAAGCCACCTGGTAGTAGCGCGGCCGCAGCCGCAGCAGCCGCCGCCGCCGCCGCTGCTGCCGCCGGCGGCGGACCGGCCGGCTTGGGGCCGGTGTCCGTGGCACGTGGCCTGGCACCTACGGTCGTCAAGCCCGAGCTCTACTTCCCCCAGTGTTACGCGCCGGCTTTCAACCACCAGCCGACCGTGTCCCCGGCGCAGTTCCCCGGCCAGTCGAACGTCGTCGCGGTCTCCGGTGAATTCAAACCGCCGAGCGGCCTGCCGCCCCAGTGACTAGCCGTCCATCCTGCGGCGTACTAGCAAGCAGGAATACCGCTGAGATTTCAGCGATGCCTCAACACGACTACCTCGCACGCCACCCCGGCCAACGCATCCGCGGCCGCTGCTGCGACGAGTAACAACAACAACAACAACAACAACAGCAGTACTACCAACAACAACAACAACAACAACAACAACAGTAGCAGCAGCAGTAGTAGTAATAGTGGCAGTAGTGCGGTAGCTAGAGGCAGTCCACCACCGCATCAGCAGCCTCATCACCTTCACCACCACCATCATCATCATCACCAGCAACACCATCATCACCACAATCAGCCGCAGCATCATAGCCATCACCATCATCACCACCAGCAGCAGCAGCAGCAGCATCAACATCAGCAGCAGCAGCAGCAGCAGCATCAGCATCATCACACCAACGGCAACAATCAGCAGCAGCAGCAGCAGCAATCGATCTCGTCGTCATCGGCGTCGTCGTCGCCGTCGTCGATAGCCTCGTCGTCCTCGTCGCCGGAAGCGCCAACCAGATGCAGCCAACCGGCCCAACCGCAGCAGCATCAGGCCCCGCAACCGCAGCCGTCGCTACAATCGCTCTATCCTTTAATGCCGGAATGATTGTTGCGATTGATACAGAGAAGAGTGAAGAACTAATGATCATCGGGACATCGTGGATCGCACGGCGTCTCTTGTTTATAGGGACCTACATTCAATTCCGATTTTCATGCTGTTTTCCTCTTTTTCTTGTTTTCTATCTGTCTATCTATCTCTCTATCCATACATACATACGTGCGTATATGTGTGCATATTATGTGTATACGCGTGTGTATACGTACACAAAAAAACAAAAAACAAAAAAAAAAAAAAAATGCATTAACGATTCGCGTTGAGACGAAAAACGCCGTTAACGGTGTCCGTCTCCCCGTGTCGAGGCACGCGCGAGTACCTCAACGGGGAGCACGAAGTAAAGAGAAATAATGTGAGACGCGACAAGGTGATTTCACGGTTAAGAGTTAAGGTAACGTATACATAATATAAATATTATAATTATCTGTGTTGTTTAGAACTTGTTTTAGGTA